TCTTCTCGTCATTACGAATGAATATTGTGGACGTTAAGGTATGTATAAATGCCATATTAATTCAAGACTACAATCTTCGCCAAACAAATCTCGTCTAAACTTAAATTTTATAAGGTTAATTGCAAATTTTGAATAAATTTTTAGAACTAGAAATTTAATAAATCCACATATCCAACAAGTTTTTTTAAAATCTGCTCTTAAATTATTTAAATTCAATGGAATAAATTTAGTTTGTCTAGAATAGTTTGGAAGGAATGTGGTGGTAAAACGGCGAATAATCGGTAATTGAGATTATTGAAATGTAATCTGCCAATCTGCAACTGTAATTAGCCAACCAACCATTAATATTATAACAAAAGGATAGTGCGCTGCAACCTAATAGATCTATGGTGCTCCTTAGTCGGATTAGAGTGTGTCTCCAAGTCCGATTTCTTTAATAAAAGACAATATAGAAACTATCTTTTCTAGTCTTGAATCCCTATGTTTCATGAATTAGAGTATTTATAATATCTGATGGCTACAAATACTAGATTCGTAAGAGGTGGTTCTGGTCAGTTCATGTCTCACACTGTGGCTTTCACTGCTTGCCACTTACCGCAATTATTTTTCTTTACTTATATATTCTTTCGTAATGTATATGATATAAAAGCAATATATCAATAACACACGATCATAGCAATAGCAGTCTATAGTCCCAGTTGATTTTTTTTGTCTAATGTCACGCGTCTTATGACTAACTGAAAATCTTGCACTTGCAGTTCAACAAATTATAAACGGACTACAAACTAATTAAATAAAAATTCAAATATTTCCTAAGTTGACTGACGATGAGTACTTTGCAATACTCTAAACAACGTTATATGATCAGCCAAATATCAATAAAATTTTTGTTGTTGTTTCTTTATTACTGTTCGAACCCTTTTTATTATTTTATATTTCTATTTTATTTTCATTGTTTATGTTATTTTATTAGAAAAAACTTTATTTATATTATTATTATGTATTGTATTTCATACTTGCTTTCAGTAACTTAATTACTAACAACAATAGATTTACAATTTTTTTTTCTATAAACAAAACCACACAAAAAATTAACATTTTTTTTAGATTAATTTTCAAAAAAAATTTTCCTATTATTAATTCCCAAATTGGAGTATTATTAATTGCTCTTCAACTAATTACACGCCCAACAACAGTTTCATCCAAATTACAAATTAATTACATGCCTGAACAACGCGAAAGGGCTTCATTTATTTAATTAGCATAAATTACCATAAAATTCTCGTCTAATAAATTCATAAATTTATTATACAAAAATTAATGCCAAACTAACCAATAATTGTAAACACGCAAACTATATCGCAGCAGGCAATCCATCCCACACCACCCTCACTTTCTTTATCAATATACTGTAATTTACATTAGCAAGTACAATTATGCATAATTATTAAATTTATTTAATTTCTCTAAGAAAACATTGAAAATAGTTCAATTCATTTAACCCTCAGTGAATCGGTATTAGAAAAAGAGTCATAGGTAGTTCTACTCGTACAGTACTGGATTCGTAGGACAACACTACTCACAGAAATAATGGCGTTTAACGTTAACCGTTTCAGTGCGCTTCCGGTAAATACACGATATTATTAATTAGAAACCCATCCAACAACAGCGACTAAATATGGTAGCTACTGGCATCATTCACACCAGCAACTTTTTACGCCATGGAGTTTACGCACTCCAAGCCACAAATGAAACAATTTACGAATTTCTAATATACCAGCGTTGAACTCGCTGTAATTACCGCGAGAACCACCATTATTATAAACACCACTCCAACTCTCCACCATTAACATTTTAAACCCAACAGCCATCAACCATTAACCATCGTCCATATTGCCTTTGCCATAATTAACGAGTACGAGTGTACGAGTACGAGTAGTACCATTGCTTGGGCTAATTAAAAACTAGTTGGTTTTACCTAATTAATTTTCCTATTTTATTTCCCTGCTTTATTTCTTTTTTATGTGTTCGGCGAGTACGAGTATGAGTACGGGAACGGCTATTACGAATGTTTTCCTTGGTATTTTCTTAGTTTTTGTTTAATGTGTGTGCACTTGAGCCCAAAGTGTTTTAATGTGCATTGGACTGAGTTACGCACTTTGTGTTTCAGGCCCATAAAATGTCGCTAATAAAATTATAAATTTGTAAAAAACTCGTAGAAGTTAACTAAATGAATTATTCATTTAAATGAAATTTCAGTTTTAATGTACGATTCCATTCCACAAGCGACGCCATTTTCTTTAAATGCGCAGGGTTTTTATTCACTTCAATCCAAAAGTGCGGGTCATTATGCCTCGGGGCTAAATATGTTGAATCATTCAATTTTCTAACTTTTAAATTAATAGCATTCGTATTTCATATTAGAAACTTAATTATATGTTCTTTGGGAACATGGACTCGTTGTATCTCGTTTACTATTATTAGGGTGGATTCAATATAATGTGTCCATAGTTCAAATGTGAAATCAATTTTTTAATACTTCGAACATATGTACCTATTACTAATTCTACTGGTAGATATCAATACACAATTAAAAACATGGATATTATTTTAAATTTGAAAAAAATAGGAAATTAAATAAAATTATTGTTTATTTCGAAAAGAATCTTATACAAAAACTGAATTTAACTGTTAACGCATATTATGAAAATAATACATGGAGCCATTTAAAAGCCTCGTAATCGTTTAACTTTTCCAGCATTTTAAGTCAAGAATTTAAGTTAAGTATTTTTATTTACTTTACATAACATCACAGCCATACTTTTAAAAAACTGCCTGTTATGTATTGCATTCCAAATATTATATACAAACAATCGAACTAATAGATATATTCAAATATCAGGTCACCTAATAAATCTTCTTTTTTTATTGCATTCAAAATTTAGATGATTTAATTGTCCAAACTAATAGATGTTTCCAAGTATTAGATCTCTTAAAACATTACCCATTTTTTTTTGCAATCCAAAAATTATATACGAGCAAAAAAACCAATAGGTGTTTCCAAAAGAGCACTTACTGACGGCGAATATATTTTATCTCATCTTTTGTGTCTCTTTTTATTCTAATATTTTTTGAATATATAATATTCAGTATTATATGATTTTTAAAGGAGAACACTCACCTAGTTAACCCGATCTAAAGCAATCATTGTCAGTAAGCAGGGCTGTCCAGAAGCAGTCATATAAGCCTTGAAGTCGCTACATGTGAAAGACATCTAAAAACTTCTTTACTATATTTCACAAAAAATGTTTGCTTACATCTTTCAGTTATGGAAAAAATTATTTTGAATATTAAACTGAAATCAGATTCCATTATATTAAATTAAAATTAAAAAATGCAAATCTGTGCAAAACTACCAACAATTCATTTATGTTTAAAAAAAGTTAAGGAAATAAATAAAATAAATTCCTACATGTTTTTTATAGGATATACATGACGTAGCACCCAGTGTAAAACTCCAGAATAAATTTCTGCAACTGATCTGGTAAGTGCATAATATTAATTTTTATACAACGACTTAAACCTATATTTTATCAATTTTTACATTATTAAAATATACTCAATAAGATCATTTCCGCAGCTCTTAATTTAAGAACTTCCTTA